CGCCTGGGCAACTTGGCGAGACCTCGTCTCCACAATAAATCAAAAAATCAGCCGGGCGTGATAGTGCTCGCCTGTAGTTCCAGCTACTTGGAAGGCTGAGGCGGAAGGATCGCCGGAGCCCGGCAGGTCGAGGCTGCGGTGGCCTGGAGCAGCCACTGCACTCCAGTCTGGGTGACTGAGTGAGACTCCAACTCAAAAAAAAAAAAAAAAGGAAAAGGAAAAAATATTGCTCTGAAATTGAACTGGAAATATCAGAATAAATAAATAAGTATATACACAAAGTCTGACAATTAAGTTTGCAAACCATCCTAGAAAAAGTATTCCACTCCCATTGCTGAATACCACTGTGGTCACCCTCGAAGTTCTTCCCCTGGGAAGGTAGGCACCGACGCCACTACCTATTCCACCTGTCCAAGCAATCTTGGAAATATTTTTCTGGAATGGTCATCAGAGCTGTCATCGTATTACCTTGATGTCCTGAATGTCATCAGATGTCTTCCTTTCAATATTTCCTTTATCGCCGGGCTCGGTGGCTCAGCCTGTAATCCCGTGCCTTTGGGAGGCTGAGGTGAGTAGATTACCTGAGCCCGCGGGTTCGAGACCCACCTGGGCAGCGAGACCTCATCTCTACAATAAATAAAAAAATCATCCGGGCGTGGTAGCACATGCCTATAATTCTGGCTACTTGGAAGGCTGAAGCAGAAGGATCGCCGGAGCCCAGCAGGTCGAGGCTGCAGTGGCCAGGAGTGGCCACTGCACTCCAGTCTGGGCGACAGAGTGAGACTTCAATTAAAAAAAAAAAAAAAATTTCCTTTATCTTCAAGTAAAGAAAAAAAGTCACTGGGGGCCAGATCCAGTGAGGAAGAGGGTGTTCCGATACAGGAATTCGTACACTGCTGATGACGTAAGTGCAAACGGGCAAGTTCATGAACTTGATCGTAAGATCTTAAATAATAGTGACCGGGCGCGGTGGCTCAAGCCTGAGATCCCAGCACTTTGGGAGGCCAAGGTGAGAGAATTGCCCGAGTCCAGGGATTCAAGACCAGCCTGGGCAACTTGGCGAGACCTCGTCTCTACAATAAATCAAAAAATAAACCGAATGTGATGGCACTTGCCTGTAGTTCCAGCTACTTGGAAGGCTGAGGCGGAAGGACCATCTGAGTCCAGCTGGTCGAGGGTGCGGTGACTGTGAGTGTGCCACTGCACTCCAGCCTGGGCAACAGTGAAATACTGACTCAAAAAAAGAAAAGAAAAGAAAAACAAATAAATGACAGCTCTGATGGCCATTCCAGAAAAAGAACTCCACAATTTTTTTGACGGGTGGACTAAACAATGGCGTCAGTGAGTGACTTCCCAAGGGGGGTACTTTGAAGGTGACCATGGTGATATTCAGCAATGAGGAACGGAACACTTTTTCTAGGATGGTTCATGGACCTAATTTTTGGAATGGTATATATACATATATATAAAATGTCCCCCAGCCCCCATAGCTGCATTCACTAAGAAGACCCAGTGCCCAACCCAATGGCAAGTGAACATTCTGATCCCTCGAACTGTCGCCTTGCAATATAATTTCTTGGAGCTTCTGGCTGATGCCAGGTCTGGAACAGGAAATATTCAAGAGGAACCTGGAACATCTGGTCCGACTACTAGAATAACATCCACAGGTGCCAGTCTGAAGGGGCTCCCACTGGCCACATCAGCGAGGGTTAGCGATGATGGATTGAAGCATGATGTGTTTAATGATTTTTTTTTTTTTTTTGGACTGGGTCTGGCTCGGTCACCCAGGCTGGAGGGCAACCGTAGCTCACTGAAGCCTCGATCTCCTGGACTCTGGGCTAAAGTGATCCTCCTCCTCCTGGGCTCAGTGATCCTCCCACCTTGGTTTCCCAAAGTGTTGGGATTACAGGCATGAGCCCCTTTGCCTGGTCCGTGCTGCTTTTCAGTTGCAGGTGCAGTTTCCTCTGCCTGGAGCAGTCTTCCTTAAGGGTCACCCTGGGGCTGCCTTCTCAAATTCTCTCCCCACATTCCAGGATCTCCCTCCCAAGCCAGGTCAAGGAGGGACTTGCCTCTCTTTTTTTTCCTCCCAGAGACTCTCTCTCTCTCTCCCTTTTTTTTTTTTTTTAAATGTATTTATTTTGAGTTGGAGTCTCATTCTGTTGCCCAGACTGGAGTGCAATGGCAGCTCCCAGCCACCACAGCCTCAACCTGCTGGGCTCCGCGATCCTTCCACCTCAGCCTTCTAAGTAGCTGGAACTACAGGCGTGCACTACCACGCCCGGCTAATTTTTAATTTATTGTAGAGACGAGGGCTCGCCAAGTTGCCCAGGCTGGTCTCAAACCCGCAAGCTCAGGCAAGCCACTTGCCTCTGCCTCCCAAAATGCTGGGATTATAGGCGTGAGCCACGCGCCCGTCTTAAATCATTATTTTACCAAACATTAAGGGCTGGGTTTGGTGGCTCAGCCCATAAGTAATCCCAGCACTCTGGGAGGCCAAAACGAGTGGATTGCCTGAAGCCTCGAACTCCTGGGCTCTGGGTTAAAGTGATCCTCCTCCTCAGCCTCCCAAGTAGCTGGGACCACAAGCCCAGCTAATTAAAAAAATTTTTTTTGTTGGCTAGGGCAACAAAACTCCTGGGCTCAGTGATCCTCCCACCCTACTCGCGGGTTCGAGACCAGCCCAGGCAACTTGGCGAGACTTCATCTCTACAGTAAATCAAAAAGTAGCTGGGCGTGGTAGCATGTGCCTGTAGCTCCGGCTACTTGGGTGGCTGAGGCCGAAGGATCACCAGAGCCCAGCACTCCAGTCTGGGTGACAGAGCGAGAACGCCACCTCAAAACAAACAAACATTAAGCACCTCTGTGTGCCAGGATCACTGGATAAAGCAATGACCAAAACCAATCAGGTGGCAAGCAAGTAGACAAATGCATGATAGAGTTGGGTTTTGTTTTTCAGATAGTATAAGTAGTGGGAAAGTATCTTGACTGGGGAGGAGCTCTGTCAGGCGTGGGAGCACACCGGCTGAGCCCCCAGAGGTAGAGGAAGGTGGCCATAAGCAGGGGAAAACATTTCAAGAAGGTGAACAGCATATGCAAGGCCGTGCTGGGGTCCCGGTCCCCCACCCAGAGACTGGGAAATCAGTGCCAGTCACATAAATCCCGCCGGGTGACCCTTCTATTCAGAGTCCTCGCATGGCGCCCTAGTGTCCTGCGGGTCAAGTTCAAGCTCCTGAGCCCGGCGCTGGGCCAGACCTGACCTCTGCTGGGGCAGAAATGCCGCCCGCCCGCGCTCCGGACGGTCTCCTCTGGCCCCGCCCCCAGCCACACCCCTAACTCCAGGTTCCGCCTCTGCGTTCCACCTCGCCCTCCCATTGGGCAGCTCGGAGAGCCTCGGGTGCTGGTTGGCTGGCGCGGCCGTCCGTTAGGGCCAAGGCCTTGATAACCAGTCCCCGAGCTTCGAGGGGGCGGGCTCGGGTGCGGGCGCGGCCGGGGCTGCGGCTTCAGGTAAAGCGCCAGCTTGTTGGGACCTCGACGGGTGTCCTGGGGGGCGGTATCCAGGGACACACGGGGTCGGGGAGCTGCGCCACGGTTCCAAGCGAGTCCCTCTGCGG